TACTAAGCCGCTGATATGTAGTCACTATATGTAGTTGATGTATAGTTGAATGATGTGTTCTAAATCCTAATTGAAGGTGTGGTATTATTTGCGTGTTTGTTAGTATATCAAAAAGTCTTTTGAACAATAAGATTCCGAAAAATTTAGAACGTATAAGAGGAAAGATGATTCTTTCAATGTCAACTTAACTGGTTATAATTTATTATTTGACTGGTGTAAATAAAGATTATCAGAAAAAAACATATATATTTTATTATTACTTAATGGAGCAATGTAGCTCAGTTAGTAAGGCATTGAGCTCCTCTGCTTCGGGTTCTGGGTTCGGATCTGACTGTGGTATGGTATTCAACCCTGGGATCAAATATATTTCAGTAGAGTTCTGTTGAATAATTTAAGTATCTCTATAATTAATAAATGAACAATATTTAGGCAGGTATACAGATTGATTGTTTGAGCACGTTGCGTTGCCCGGCAACCTGATAACCGAAGGTTTAAAATAAATAAATAATTACGAGTTCAAATTCCAATGCCCAGATATAAGGGGTGCCGAAAACTGTTGCATACGGATAATTTTCATTTTTCTTGATATTTTTTATTTTCAAAATAGAAGTCTTTACTGATTTAACAAAACTGAAATTGTTGAACCAAGTGCCCACGCTATTAGTGTTGCCCAAATGCAAGACCGAGACGAGTCTTGGTCTTGCACAAGACTCTCGCAACAGTCTTGCAGTTACTTATTAGCTTATCACAATAGAATTATTACTGTAATTTCTTAGATAGGAGAAACCTAACTAAGCCCGAATGAAAAATTAGAGGAATTAAATGCGAAAGTATATTGGTTGTACCAATTATTAACACATGGTAACTAAGATTGTCAAGTATTGGTAACTATTTTGCCCTAATTTTTATTTTAAAAAAATTTTTTTTTACCAGTCCTTGTCTTGGTCTTGCAACAGTTAGGCGGCCTTAGTCTTGGTCTTGCAAAGTTCAAGACCAAGACCTATTTTGGACAACACTACACGCTATGGGAAACCCGCCAAACACATTTTAAGTTTTATTAAGAGTGCCGAAAACTAAGGGTTTTATCCTATAAGACCTTTTATTAGCGAAGAGTACACAATACAAGAAGGTGGATGAATGATCTTTTGCCTTTATATTGGATCGCTTAGCAAGGACGAAAGCGGTTTTACTCAGCGCAGAGGAATATCCTGCGTCTTTTGAATTATTCAACTGATATTGTCTTAGGTAGGAGTCCTTTTTATCCTGGCTATATATCTTCCTTTGAATAATGTACGGCTAGCTATTGACAAAAAGCCATATCTCTCTATGAAATATTGATTCTGAAAAGGTCCGATGCCAGTTTTGGTATCGGATAATTTCTTCAAAAGGTCTCTTTGTCTAAGTTTCTTCAGCCAATGGTCGAGAAGCACCTGGGTGCTTAGTAAGATAATCTCTGATGATATCGGCAATATGCTAAATCGGCCAGATGTTCATTAAAATCTCTAAAAACAAGTTTACTGTTTGGATTGTGTTGTAGATAAGGTAAAAAAAAATGTATGCTTTTTCGCTACAGAACGTAGAGAAGCTTTTTATTCGTGCTGAAAAACTCTGTTGCTCGTAATCGAAACTTTCCACTCGTATTTTACGTTACAGATATCAAGGATCAAATTTGGTTCGGTATCTGTCTGTAGTCAAATCGATGTAACGGACATATCACTTACCACCGTTTATCCGATCTTCATGAAATTTTCTGAGATTGTATGTGCTGTCGACAGTGGACCGAACCTCTAAAATCGGAAAAAAAAAAAATCAATTTTCAAGTATTTTATTTTCTGAAAAAGTTTTATATTCTCTTGAAGCCAGATAGGACATCGGATGTACAAGGAATCAGTGGTGCCCACCCTAAGGTCGATGGCTCAAGAACCTACCACCCTTCCAAAATATTTTATTGCTCACCTATTCCTAAAAACAGAGCAAGCTAAGGTAGAATTAGAAAAATCATAGTAATTTACAATTTTCTTAATTCCAAAACAAGTTCCTGGTATTTTTTGACCCTGGTGGATACAAAGTTGGAATCACTAGGTACTGCTATATCTAGAAGTTATATCTGCTATAATAGAAGTTTTATTTGTTTTGTGTCTAACCAATATATGAGGTTATTATTTTTTCATTGCTATAAACTTTTTCACTACTACTTTGCTTAAGTGTTTCTGGGATATTGCAACTTTAGGGTTGACATGACTTGAAGCTGAAAAAAACTGTAATTTTTTAAAAGTATCGTTACCACTGCAAATTTTACTGTCGATAGTTTTCAGTTCTATTGGAACTAGAACATTTTCCCTTGAGACTTTTTTGTAAAGATTTTATTTTTAAAATTTTTATTTAAAAGTTCTGTCGATTTCGCTAGTTTGTTCCACGGGCTATACATATTATTTTTATTTTTATTTAATCTTTATTTGTTTTCAGGAAAGAAGCCCATACTAATAGAACCTATCTTTGTATAACAAATATTATTACTCCAATGGTATTACAAATATTTTTCTTGTTCATTTATATAATCCATTACAAATATTACTACAAGAATCACTTAAAAAACATATTTAATAAAAAGTCAGACAGTTAAAATAAAGCCAAATGTTAACAATTATGTAAAATCTAAAACTCCCGTCAAAACACATAAACAATATCAATAAAAGCAATAACTACATTTTATTTTTTTAATATTAATAGTAAACTGTGTTTTAAAATTCAATTAAAAGATTACTTGCATGAACAAAGAAAATAAACAAACGACAATATTCCAAATTACCCTACCAATTCTCTATTATTTGATATATTAGAAATGAAAAAACATAATTTTCTCATATCTCCTATAGTGGTTAGCTCAAATATTTTCGTCCTATTAAGATTACCCTCACCCTGGTGAATTCTAACTCTTAACTATTGTATATTGGGCATTTAAATAATACGTGTTAAAATGTCTCTTTTTCTATAGTATTACACATTTTTTACTCAAGTTGTGGAATGAAATTAACAATTTTATTATTAACTAAGACCTTGATCATATATTTTCCCGAGAGGCGAATCTGCATTAATAATCTGGTATATTAATATTATATATACATATTATTATTACTATTTTCGGCTACTTGTTTCTAAATATTGATATATTATTACTTAGTCCTGACGAAAGCCTGAAAAGTAGGCCGAAAAATCGGCTTAATGGTATAATGTAATTTATTTATTATATTTATTTATAATAATTTATTTATTTATATTTTGAAAAAGGAAGGAGATGGTTGGGGCTGGCGATCATAAATAGGCTAAATAGTGGCAAAACTATTTTATTAAAAGCAACGTTTCGACCCGACTTTGCAGGTCTTCTTCAGGGAGGTGTGTTCAGCTAGGAGTTTCACTTAGAACTGAGTTTTAGGAGTACTCCTAGCTGAACAAACCTCCCTGAAGAAGACTTGCAAATTTGGGTCGAAACGTTGGCATTAAATAAAAGAGTTTTGCCACTATTTAGCCTATTTATGACCACCACCCCGGACCATCTCCATCCTTTATAGTTTTCATCTTCTATAGTGTTTGGCTCAAATATTTCCGTCCCATTAAGATTTCACATACTTCTGTGGTAAATTCTAACTCTTAAACTATTGTTTATTGGGCATTTAAATTATACGTGATAAAGTGTCTCTTTTTCTATAGTATTACACATTTTGTACTCACAAGTTGTGGAGTGAATTTTACAATTTTATTATTAACTGAGACCTTGATCATATATTTTCCCGAGAGGCGAATCTGCATTAATAGTATGGTATATTAATATTACGTATACTTATTATTATTTTTGCCGTCTACCTGTTTCTAAATATTGATATATTATCTTGTTATTTCTTAGCCTTGACGAAAGCCTGAAACTTAGGCCGAAACGTTGCCATGAAAGTATAAAAATAAATATTATTTATTTATTTTTACTTTGTTCTTTCTTTGAATGCAAATCCTCAATCAATTTCTCTTCAATAAATTTAAACATTGTTCAGCCGAATATCTCACTATTAGCACAGATGGATAGGTAGGGAGAGGGGGTTTCGGGCTGAAGTCTCACCCCCCCCTCTCCCCCCAAATGGTAAAATATAACCATGTTTTATCGAAAAAATATTAAAAACTATCTCTTAAAGTATTATTGTTCGTTTAATTACATTTAATAGGACTACAAGAATCACTTAAACACTATTTCATATAGGTAATTAATTTTTTTTTTTCAAATTAATTATCGTTATATGTATATGAAAAAAAAAATCTTTCGGGCTGAAGCTCCCCCCCAAAAAAAATTAAATCCTGGGTCCGCTAGTGACTGTTAGCAACCTCATTATTAGAAATCTTAGCAACTGTGTTATCGTTAATGATAAATATGTCGCAGAATCGAACTCACCGTTCGTCCTATTTCGTTATCAGTCGAGTTCTATCTGCGAAGAAGAGGTCTATTATGTCGGTCCTGAAAGGAATGGCGTAACATCCTGCCTTGGGGTCCTTCCTCCTTCCCTCCATTAGCCTGTGTCCTTGGAGGTATCACTTTTCCATTTATCAAAGGATTTTATTTTAGTGAGAGGAGACACTTACAAAATATTAATCCCAAGGATATTTTTATTTATTCCTACACCGGCCTGGATACTATTCAACTTCCGAGCTATTGTTAAATGTATCGCGGTCACTAGTTTTTTCTTTATTTCTTCTTTTTTTGCACAGAAGTCAAATGGTCCAGATAGTGGATACTCCCGTTGATCGGGACACCTCAGGACGATCAGGAATCCCGGAGAAAGAAGCGTGCTCTATAAGACGACTGTAAATATATACCCGAAGCCGTTACCTCCGACAGTCCACTGTATCCAAAGATACTCTATTCATCGGGACGACCGCCTGACCCAGATCCGCGCCGAAGAAGAAGAGGATCGAACCGCGGCCTTTTCCCCACGACTTCCATCTCCGGCACCCGATCATTAATCCGATTCGTTTACGTTTTCCGATCTGGAGTTATCCGATGTGCGAGTTGGCTGATTGAGACTTTCACGGCAATAGCAGACGTGCTTTGATGAACAGTGGTCTGTAATGGCGGTGGGTAACGGTACCACGGCGGCTACTGCGATCGGACTAATGCATGAAGCAGCAACATTATAAATAATAATCAAATGAAATAAATTATATAAACTAAGTAATATATACATAAAAAAAAGTTTTTTCTCTCTTCATATTTCTATCTACTCATAACTTCATAATTCAGGAAAAAGATCTCTCATCCAGCTTCTCTTTAGTCGTCTCCTGATGGGCATGTCAGCTGTGGCCATGTCGTTGATAAGTCCGTGTAGTTTAAGATGAAATCGTATGTAGAGAGTACGTATGTGTTGCTCGATAGTTGGTTGTTGTAAGTCAGTATGTAAAGTTTTGTTGTTTACGTACCAGGCAGCTGCTGTTATTAATCTTAAAATTTTGGATTGAAATGATTGTAGTCTTTGTAATAAGATAGAAAATTATGTATATCTACATAAAAATATAAGACATTAATCTATGAATATAAAAAAAACAAACATTTTTTTTTTAATTTGAAAATTTGTTCAGTATTTTGTGCTCAAATTGTTTCAAAACATTTCCTGGATCCCATTGAATAATTACAGCCGTTAGAGTCGATCATTCGCTCAAAAAATCGTTACAAACCTTTTCAGATTGATTAAACATACTCTACACCGTCAAACCACATTAAAAACCGCATTATTTTGACCTCTTGAGGGCTGTAGGTCACACCAAACGGCTCAATATTTTTCTCGACTTCGGGCTCAAATTATGTTACGATTCAAGTGGAAAGCCAATGGGTATTCATGAGTTTTTAGCACGCAATTAATCAGACAATGTTTGCCCATTTCCACATTAAAAACTCCTTAATTTCAAGAATTTTCGTAAATGAAATAGTCGTAGGTTACGATAAGATAAAGATATTTACGAAATTTCAGGCGGATGTTAATAATTTAATAATTGACCACGGGCTAGTAGGTAAAATGTGTAGTCTAATAACATATAGATAGTATAAAGTTAATATTAATAAATATGTGGAATGGCAAATATATAATACATAAATAAAGGAAATATAAAGTAACTGAGATAAAGCAGAGAATTTTAAAATAGTGGTAGCAAATTTATATTCCCCCTTCCACATATTTATTAATCTCTGTACATCGTATATCTTAAATATTATACTTGATGATATGAATGTATGTTATTATACTATACCATTCATCAGAAACAATCATGATTATAATTTGGCAAACATCACTTTGTAATGTGGATTGCTGTAAAAATGTAATAAATAAATAACTTTTATTTTTTCTGGGAAGTTGTATAATATTCTTAGTTATTTGGCAATAATTACTTCCAGTTAGCAACAATTGAATATATTTCTTGTTTTATCAAAGTTTGCATGTTTATAAGTTGAGTTTACGTTTCGGGATATTTACTCCCATCTTCAGAACCACAATCCCAATGATCTTGTGAATGCAAGGCTAAACATTTTTTTAAAATCACAAGATCATTGGGATTGTGGTTCTGAAGATGGGAGTAAATATCCCGAAACGTATACTTAACTTGTAAACATGTAACTTTGATGAAACAAGAAATATATTCAATTGTTGCTAACTGGAAGTAATTATTGCCAAATAACTAAGAATAACTTTTATGTTTTGTTCTCTTCGCTCTTATAACCGTACGAGTGAACCTCGTGTTACATATCCATTATTTTTGAATGTATAATCACCCAAAATAATTTAGTTATAATCTCTGACCCTCTGTGGCCTTCCCATGTTTGTTGGTTACATGTTAATGTTTACAAATTTACACTAATTACATTAAGTTAATAACATTCTGTCATACATATTAAGCGTAAAATTTAAGAACAAAGCAAATACAGAGACTAGCGAAATTGTTCTGATCAGCAATGAATAGATTTCTTAAGTAGTACCTTAGCGGTAACCTCCCTGTAAGGATCAGCCTTACCAAAGGACTCCTGAGGAAGAATGGACCAGTCCTGGAGGAAGGAAGGAGTTAATCCTGGAGGTAATGTCCTTGGATCCTAAGAATACGTGGACGGTTTGCAGTCGCTAGCGAAGGCTACAGGAAGCAGTGTCTCCTTCTAAGTATTCTCCACTATTTCAATGTAGGTTAGAAATCCTGAGACACAGTGGCGTAGATAGCGTTCTTCTGATATCGATCAATATTCCTTATTGATATCGATATTTGTATAATATCGGATAAAATACCGATATCGCCAATATCGAATGATATTGTTATCAAAATGGAATTGTTAAATTAATATCCAACCAATATATCGTCGGTCCAGTGAAAAAAAATTACATAGAACATCAATGAATTTTCCCTTTGATGAAATCAGAGAATTATGCGCTTATTATAATAATGCTTGTGATATATACATGGGTGCCCAGAAGGGGGTTTTATAGTTGATGGAGGACATTTTTACGAAATATTAAATTTTTGAGGGGGGCCCATTTCGACGGGCTTGTAAATCGCAGAAATGCAACTGCGAACTTCAGTTCTATATTCGACATCCACATACATCAAGTGTAACAAGAAGAATCGGAAATTAAATAGTTTTAAATTTAGTAGATTAAAAGATTGTTTATTTTTGGACGGTTTGTTTACACTAGAAGTTAATACAGTTAAGTTATGTTGGAATTTATTATTCTTTTATGTTGCACAGTAGTAACAGATATGAAAAGTTGTTGATGTTTATCAGAGTTAAGATCTCCCTTGTTGCATACTAACAACATGCAAATTGAGAAATATCTGATCTAGAATTTATGGAAATTCAAGGTCTCTTCAAGGTGACCATTCCAATACGTTTAAAATTAATATTAGTTAATTTAATCACGTTTGTTTATGAATGATATTAAGCATTGAGCTTCTGAACTAATCAGCAACGAGAAATTTAGACTAAATTCATACATCTCTTGGGAGAAATGGTATTGATAAGATATCTCTTGGGAAAAATGTTATTGATAAGATAAGGTGGTAATCGTCTGAAAAGAAGATGGCCAAGAGACCTTCTGAATTAATTTATCTTTGAAGTGTTATCAATGGGTAGCTACTTCACAAGTGCTTTCATTTTATATATTTCTATAGCAGATTTACTTTTTGCATATATGTTTACAGTTATTAATATAAAAAAAAAAAAAGAATGTTCATTCACAACAGTAAAAAATAGAAATTTTGACAACCAGTGAAATAATCCTCTTTCTTCCTATTACTTCGGACTTTGGACATACGGTATTGAGCTTTGGGGCTCTACAAAAACATCAAATTCTTCCCGTATCTAATCCTTACAATCCAAAATCCTCCGAAAAATCCTAAATGCTCCTTATTATGTAACAAATAAAATTTTCCATAAAGACCTCAACATTCCTCTTGTTGAAGATTTGGCCCGAACTAAATATACCTCTTTTCATTCCAAACTCTTTGGTCACCTCAATCCTCTAGTTCATAACCTTTCATCCAACACAATTCCTGACAACCCTGCGAGGCCTCTGAAAAGAAGATGGCCAAGGGACGTCCTAAATTAAGTTATCTTTGAACTGTTACCAATAAATAGCTTCCTCACAAGTACTTTCATGTTATATATTCCTATAGCAGATTTACTAGTTGTATAGAAGAAAAATAAAAAGTCTTTTTATTTATCAAAATTACATAATATCAATTACAAAATAATATTTTTGGATTTAAAACCGAAAATCAGACGGGCCACATGGTCTGTTGACCGTCAGAGGAGTTTTATAATAAAATTATATTTCAATATATTTATATAAAACTAATTAATAAGAAAATTTATATTTAAAATATAAAAGTTATATAAATATTTTTATTTACAAAAAGAATGGTACCAAAATTTTCCCATTTATTAGTTGTTAAATTCTCTGCTAAGCATTATTCTATAGGAGAAAGCAGACTTGCATTAATTTACCAATGATATCCAATTGTTTTCATTTATTAAATCTACTACTTGATCTCGAGATAAATTTCTAGATTTTAACCATTTAATTCTAAATTCAGAGAGTATCGGACAAGCAGTCAGGAAGTGATAGAGATTTTCTGTTTCGTTTGTATTACACATGCTAAAAATATTTTTTGTTTGCTTGAAGTGTTATTAATTTTAAGTTCAAAACATCAGTTCTCTAATTTTAATTAGCCATCTGATCAACTTCAATGAGCTTTTGTCATCAATATAACTTACTGAAGTTAAATAAGAATAAAAAGTAAAAGTTTTAGAATTCTGAACTTTAGTCACATATTGATTATATATTTATTTCTGAATTTGAGTTCTTAGTAAATATAATAAGACTACTAGTTACGTATATGTTTACAGTTGTAAATTTCAGTAAATAAACAAAATAAAATAAAAAATACATCTTTTCTCTTCATATTTTCATACCAATCTGTCATAATCTTGTCAATAAACAGATGTGTTTTTATTGTTAATAAATTTGGAATTTTATGAATGAGGTAGAATAGTATCCAGTAGCACCTTTTCGTGGTCTTAGTTTACTTCATAACAGGACAGCAAAATTTTCTAAAATCAAACGCATCCAATCCTTTCAGTCCAAAGTCCTCCGAGCAATAGTCGATGCTCCGTTCTAAGTAACCAACCAAACCCTACATCATGACCTTAATATCCCATTTGTCCTAGACCTTATCCCTAAAATATTTTCAAAATTCCATCAGAACCATCCAAATCCCCTTTCACAATCCCTGTCTAGCTCCACCCATCCCTACAATCCTCCTCGAAGGTTGAAGCGGCAGTGGCCCAGAGATCTTTTGTAGTATATATCTTGGAGTTCTGGCAATGGCCAGATTCTCCACTCAAGAAATGAGTGTATGTGGCTAAAGCGCTCTCGCTCAAACTCCGCTGGCTTTAGCACCAGTGACACAGTTGAGAGAGTAGCGCAGGGATCTCTTGGAGTCCTACTTTTCCTTCTATAGTAAGATGTAAAAACCAGGCTTGGGGTTCCCTCCCTGCCTGATTGTATATATTTTATATAAGTATGACTGTTTTCATGGTTTTTTAATTTAATTATTTTATTTTTCATTGTCAATAGTTTTTTATTCTTATTTTACTTTTGTTAATTTTATATTTTCTGTATATATGGTGGGAATGTGTTCATATATGACTACAATTATTGTCCACGTCACAGATTATTATATTTCTAAATAAATAAATTAAAAAAATTTACTTCCTTAATTCAGGAAAGCAGATCTCTCATCCAGGACCTCTTCAGTCGTCTCCTGATGGCCATAATAATACGAATAAGTCCGTTGTGGTGTTCGTGTAGTTTAAGATGAAATCGAGAGTAGAGAGTACGTATGTGTTGATCGATAGTAAGTTGTCATAAGTCGATATGTAAAGTTTTCTTGTTTACGTACCAGGGAACTGTTGTTATTCATCTTAAAATTTTGGATTGGAATAATTGTAGTTTTTGTAAGCGCGTCTTTTTTGCTGAACCTTAAATGTGTGAGAAGAATGTCCATATGGCTTTGATTAGATAAGTGTATATATTTAGTTTTTGTCTGGTTTTCAATTTTGATTTGGAAAAAAGTGAGTATAGTCTTAGTATGAGTAAAGTCTTTCGTTTCATTTTGACATTTGGGCCCCAGGTCATCCTTTTGTCGAATATTACCCGTTTTAATAAATATAGGGAGCGGGGTGGCTCAGTGGTAGGGCACTGAGCTTCCAATGCAAAGGTCTCGAGTTCGAACCCGGCTCATGGCAGAAAAATTATTTATCTGTTTATTGGCCGTGGGGCGACCTTGGGTCAGGAGTCCCTCCTGGGGCACACCCAGCCTCTATAAAGTGGGTACCCTTAATTATATAATTAATTAGGGGGGAAAAACCTGGCGGTTGAGCGTGATCTCGGTCAAGTCACCTCCTTGCACAACCGTGGACCTAGAAACAGTGCTTTCCCTAAATAGTACTGAACCCCAGACCCTTTATGGGTTGTAGTGGTACAGGTTTTTTTTTTTTTAATAAATATAATAATAAATACAAAAAATATTAAGCATGTTAGGTACTGATGCATTTACCGTACGGCATTGACTAAAATCTCATTAAATATTAGATGGGTTGTAAGGTATTTTCGCGCACTTTATGCTGAACTAACCTGAGATTACTTCCTCTTTGTAATGAAGTCGTGACCTCTGAGGACTAGAGCTTGAAGTTGTGATCGCCTCGTTCAGGAACGTGCCTAACTGATCTTTGGAGAAGTTGCGAAAGAAGAGAAGTCTCAGCAAAGAGCATGGAGAGCAGTGAACTGTAAAGAAGTAGTTTTGTCTTATAATTTCATTATTTAGTCTAAAGACAAAGAGGTCAAATTTGAAATTGTAGTTTAATTATGAAATCGTCGAATATCATTTACGTAGAAGTATAACTGTATAAAAATAAATAGAAACTTAGTAAATGTGATACAGAGAAATGCAATGGCATTAAAAAAGTTCTAGAGAAACTACACGTCGGTATCATTCTAATAAGATTTGTAAATTAGTTGGTCACGAGGCCATCTTCTTTTCAGAAGCCTCTGGAAATATTCAAGGATCGAGGAGGAAGCAATGTTAGAAACGACTGGATTAAGATGGTTCTGAAGTTAATTATGAAATGATATATATTTATTAAGCCAAATCGGAAACTTATAGAACATTAAGGTAGTTATTGATGACAAAGTAAAAACCATTGAGGATTTTACGAAGGACTTGAGATTATCAGGAATGGATACAACAAAAATTCATATTCTTTTGGTTTAGTATAACCCAAAAGCTCAACTCCATACATCCCAACAGACCTCAGTATATGTATGTATCGTAGTTCTGTCATAAATATCTTTACAAGGAAGTATATACAGATAACAACAGAATTTTTTTTTTTTAACTTTATTACAAAATAAAATGTATATCTATAGAGAGTAAAACAAAAAAATAAATTACTCAAAATGTTCCCCTTTTGTCTTGACATAGGCATTTAATCTCCGTGGCCAGTCATCAATAGCAGCACGCAGCACTTCTTGAGGAAAGCGCTCAACTGCTCGGACCAGAGATCGTTTGAGGCTTTCCAAGTTAGGGTGTGCTCTGTGGCATGCCATCCTCTCCAGTTCGGACCAAAGCCGATAATCTAGTGGGTTGAGATCAGGGCTTCCTGAGGGCCAATCCGAGGCAGAGATGAACTCTGGAATGTTCTTAAAAAAATATCACAGCATAAACATTCAGTCTTAAACTCTTTGTTGCAGAAGAACCTCTACATTATTGTGTAATTTACAATCAGAGATTATTATTATTATCTTGATTTGATCAATTTTTTGCTAAAACTGAGAAAACTGAGATCAAGCCCAATTAAGTCGTATAGACGCCAGCTGTCCTTAAACTGTTGCTACGTGACCCGGCATTCAGAGAATATGACAATATTCTTGCCTTACACATGTTTGATTCGCTGCTTAGAGAAAGTTAAAAAGTCAAATATATATTCTAGAATCATGGTTACTATGAAATGAATCAAATCCTTCGCCATTAAAGGTTTACATCGCAGATTTTAGATGCAATACATCTGTAATAATTTAATATTTTATTTGGAAAAACGCTGCAAATTATTTCACAATGGTTTATTATTTCCAAACAATTCTAAAGTAACACTACCTTCCTGGTAAAAACGAAAATTAAATAAAAGGTTATTGTGTAATTATTGACCTAAACCTTTTTTTTTTTTTTTCATTAGTAATATCCTAAAAAAAAAATATCATTACTTCACTAACACAATCAAAACTCAAAAACCAGAATAATATAACCTTTGCAGTATAACATATAAAAAACATCTAGAGACCACATCTTTGCTCCTAATTGTCCAATTTTAGCGATTTTGTTGGGAGTTTTTTAGGAAATTCCATAAACTTTTAAATAACCATATCGACAAAAAAGTAAAGACTTTTTGGGTTATTCGTAGTCTAATTTTACCATCCCTCGTAACTTTTTTTCCAGCTTCCTTTCGTTGAAGTATTTTCGGTTTGCCATCTTGATAGGAAAAGGCGGATAGTAATGTTGATGAAGAAGAATCTTACTCGAGTGATCTTTAATTTTAAATCCAAAATTGAAAAAAATCGGGTCAGTAGTTTCGGAGAAAATGCGCGGACGTCGGATGTACAAAACAATTTTTATTCTTTTTTCGAATTCTACGTATCCTGAAACGTAAAACCTCAAATTTTGAGAAGGGGTTAAGTTTTTGAATTTTTTGTTCCATCTCAATGGTTCATTATTGAAAATAATAAACCAAAATTTTTACTAACTAAACACAATTGTTTAAACGATAGAAAAAATTCGAATAGATTTCCAATTCACTCAAAAAGTATAAACTTTTTTGTCCATGTTGTAATGGTCATTTAAAATTTTACAAACTTTCCTAAAATATAAAACAAAATCGTTTAAATCGGACAATTTGGTCAAAGACATGTTTTTTTAAATATTTTTCATATGTTCGACTACAAATCTTATTACCGCAGAAAAGAAGTGATTCTTCACCAACATGCCAAACCTGTGAGACTCCTCTGACAGTGAAACAAACTTTAACAGAATGCAGAGCTCACTAAACATTTAGACTATCTTTTGATTTGACAAACGGTCTACACATCATTATACAGGACAATGCGAATGAAATTGACAAATTGTTTTCTTTTCTGAAATATTCGAAACTTGAAAATTCTCGATGAAAATAAGGCAATAATGACCCTAGTGGTGGAAGCCTTTAATTTGAAAAAGAAAAAAGCTTATTAACTTTGTTTTGGTTTTTAATATTCTGACAGTGTTACATCAACAGAATTAATGTATTTGATTTTTCTTAGAAATAAAAAATTATTTAGGACAATATTAAAAATCACCCTTTTTTTTCCTTATGTTACAAGGAAAGTAATGTTTGAAATAATAAACCATTGTGTAATAATTATGCGGAGTTTTGTTTTTATTATTATTTTTAAGAGACTTGTTCTCAGAAAATGACAAAATAACGACGTTATTTAGGCCAAACAGCCCAATATGTTTGTAGGCCACCTTTTTTTTGTTTGTGACCAAATTATCTAACGATCCAAGTGGACAAGTTTTTAGTAGCTAATTAAATCTCTCAAAAATGGGGCGCTTCCTTATTAAATAAATTAATTTAATGGCATACTAAATATTCATTAATACTCATCTGATTTCCTCTTGAATCGTAAGATACTTTGATCACAAAATCGAGAAAAAAAGGTGACCTACAAAAATATCGGGTATATATAACCTCGCTATTTTCACATGCTGAGCCTGAAACCACACCAAACCGCCTCCATTTTTTTTTCTTTTGTGATCAAATTATCTCGTGATTCAAGTCAAATGGGTATTTATGAGTTTTGGGAACCTAATTAAATAGACAAAGTTTACCAATGTCCAGATTAAAAAACTTGAGGATTTTCGTAGAAAAAATAGTTTTAGGTTTCGACAAGATAAAGTCATTCATGAAGATTTGGATGTATGTTAATAATTTCATAAAAATGTACCATGTACTATAAATAAGTACACTTATGATTTATAATTGGTAAATGGTTGTTTGTCGTGGATAATGAAGAGAAGAATAGTTGGGGTGGTCAGTCAAAAAAAGAAGGCAAAAATAAATGATAATATTTATTTTTACATATGCCGACGTTTCGGCCTGAAGTTCAGGCCATCATCAGGGCTAAGAAAAGAACCAGATAACAAGGTATGAGAAACATAAAAATTACAGTAAGATTCCCTTTACAATACTTATGTCCCTTTTTTTGACTATGTATTTTTGACTTCATCATTCCACACTTTGTATCTGTTATTATTATTTGTCCCTTGTTCTTACTATTGTCATTATTCTAACAACTTCATTTTACTGTAATTTTTATGTTTCTCATACCTTGTTATCTGGTTATTTTCTTGGCCCTGATGATGGCCTGAACTTCAGGTCGAAACGTCGGCATATGTAAAAATAAATATTATCATTTATTTTTGCCTTCTTTTTTGACTGACCACCCCAACTATTCTTCTCTTCCTTATCCACGACAGTCAACCATTTACCAATTATAAATCATAAGTGTACTTATTGATAGTACATGGTACATTTTTATGAAATTATTAACATCTATAATCTAGCTTATTAGGTCATTATAATTTGAGCCTTATAGTATTGGTGTTACCTTGATATCACCAAAATACATCCCTGTATATCGAATTTTATCTTATTTGAATGAAATATGACCAATAATTTCATCTCCAGTTCTAATATATGACTGTGAGACCTTGTTCACTAACCAGCACTCTAGCAGAAAGAAGTTGATTTTTTTTCTATTCTTTATATTTTAGTCTTTGGTATGATAGTAAATGCTAAGCTTAAGAGATTTCTGAAATTATTTAGTCTCTGAACCGTTGAAGGCCGATTCGATTGCTACTGAGCATTAGTAATCGTAAATGAAACGTTATTAACTCATATGAAACGCCGATGAACTCAGCTGAAAAGTTCATATCGACTCGAATGTAACCGTCCAACATAATCTTTATAAGGCCGGCTGGACTTAAATGCCAGTTTCCCAGACTAGCTGTCAGTTCCATCTTCCGATTCGAGCCGATACCCGATACCCTCTTCTTCGGCGAGTTCGTCCGGAACAGAGATGAAGGATATCCCCACTGACGTCCTTCAGGTGTAATTAATACCTGGCCATTATGAAAATGATCTCGGCATCTCTTCAGAGGATCACGTACTCCGCCCCGACCCGAACAGATTGAAAACAGGTTTCTGCTTCGTTTTGTTCTCGCTGGCGTTTCCTTTTCATTTTTGGACGGGGCGTGAAGGGAATGAAATAGAGAGCTGGGAGCGGGGTTTTTAGGCTGTATTAGTGAGCCATCAATCACTCAATAATTACAGAGTTACATCCGCTCTCGAGATACTACCGCTCACGATTCCATAGAGCTTACAATAAAACGGGGGTTTAATAAAACTAGCGAAATTTAGCTCGTAAAGTCGTTCATCAACGGTTAGTTCTAATCCTATGAGCCGCGCGAGAAAATTAATTAAGATATAAATCGAAGAGCCAATAGATCTTCAGTTGTTTTTTCCATCTGTTTCGATTTTATTGCCCCGTAAGATCACGTAGCAACAATCAAGTCGTTATGGCAACAACCATTTCCAATAGGAAACCAAAATTAACATCATGTTTTAGCCATCTTCTCTCTTGAAATATCTTCCGCTAATATGGAAATGGAATCCTCATTCGACATTCAAACACCCGTCTAAAACTTCGTGAATAGTTTCATCTTATCGTAACCTAAATATTGAAAGAGATCGGCAATCTTTAATTAATTACTAAAAAAATCGTAAATACAAATTTGGTTTCCAGTTGAATAGTAATATAATTTGAACACTAATTCGAGATAAAAAGTGGTCTTTGAAAATATTGAGCCGTTTTGTGTGGCCTACGCCCCAAAATGTCAAAATAACGAAGTTATTTAGGCCAAACAACCCAATATGTTTGTAGGTCGCCTTTTTTTTCAATATGTTATCAAATTATCTTACGATCCAAGTGGAAAACAAATGGTTATTTACGAGTTTTCCGTACCTAATTAAATAGATAAAATACAGACCCCTCAAAAATGGGGCGCTTTCTTTTTACATAATTTCTTATTATTATAATTTAATGATGTCCCATATACTCATGAATACTCATCGGCTTTTCACTTGAATCGTAAGTTACTTTGATCACAAAATCGAGAAAAAAAGGTGGCCTAAAAAAGTCTATAGTATGGCTGTTACATTGATATCACCAGAAAACATTCCTGCATATCAAATTTTATCTTTATAATTTATAAATTTTATTTTTACAATTGTCTCTTCTCACTCTCTAAGGTATTGAAATCCCGAAAAATCTCAATAAATCTCAAACTAACGGTGTATAATGCTATGATAAAGTCGGTTCTAATATATTGGCTGTGATATCTGGACACTAACCAGCACTCTAGATAGAAGTGTCGAAAGATTTGAGAGGAAAATCCTTCGTATGTTAACTGGAGCGATCTGTTATCAGAGGACTAACACATGGAGAAGAAAGACCAATAAAGAACTGCTTACAGAAGCTGGTCAATCAATATCCGATGATATGAAGGCACGGAGGTTAAGATGGGCAGAGCATGTAACTAGTAGCAATCCGTCTGGAAGACTCTACGTAACAATGAATGCCTCAATAGAAGGCAAACGACCACGTGGAACGCAAGAAAGCAGATAGATAGATAAAATCAACTAGTGTTAAGACCAAGACCAAGGCCGCCTAAGTGTTGCAAGACCAAGACCACGTCTGGTAAAAAAAAAATCGATTTTTTGAATAAAAATTAAAGCAAAATAGTTACTAATAATTGACATCTTAGTTTCTATATGTAAATAATTGGTATAACTAATATAATTTTGCATTTAACTCCTCTAATCTTTCATTCGGGCTTAGTTAGGTTTCTCCTATCTAAAAAATTACAGTAATATCTCTATAGTAATGAGCTAATAAGTAACTACGAGACACTTGCGCAAGACCAAGACCAGACAAAGAACGAGTATGCGAGATCAAGACACGTCTCGGTCTCGCATTTGGTGAACACTAGAATCAACAAAGATGAAACAGAGCTCCGTGCCGATAAATGGAAAGAAATAGCCCACGACAGGCAGAGATGGAGCAGGCAAAAAAATGTATAAAAATAATAATAATAAGGCTTAGCGAACCCGAAGGTTCGATGCCGACACCACCAATCGCTTGTTACACACCTCCCTCTACCGTTCGCCGTCCAAACCCAGTCCCTTCAGATCGGCTTTAATGCAATCTTCCCACCTTCGCTTCGGTCTACCCCTCGGACGCTTACCATTCGGCACAGCAAATATTAACCTTTTAGGAATTCTGAAATAAATAGAATGTAATAAATAGAATGTATAAAAATAGAATGTAAAAAATATTTTTTATTTATTTAATTAACATCAATTTACACCTGTGATATGTTGCCTGTTGATATTCAATGGGCTGACTATTTCAGGAGATAGTAACATGTCAGACATGGGATAGGACAGTAGCATCATAGGCACAGAATTTCTATTTTGGTTGGGGGGGAGGCTATAAATCTCCCCTCCAAAAAAAAAAGTCTCGGAAGTTTATATTATGTTAAAAAAAAAAAAATATACATATATATAAATATGATAATTAACGTAATCTGTATAATTGTTGTAAAATGAAGAATATATAATAATAAATTCATATATGTATATGTTTTTTTTTCTAACATACAGGTATATATATTTAAAAGAAAGCAATTGAATTTATGCTTCGAAGCTTCAAATTTGTCACGGGAAAGGTTACTAAATCTTCCCGTAAAAATGAAAGGATTCACATGAATGAATCATGAATGGAAATGATGGAAGGATTCACATGAATGAATCATAAAATTCTATGATATGTTACTACATGTAATTGTCTTTCAATATAAATTAAAGTTTCGATTATAGAACATAGAACGTTGTAAAATACTTGCGTACCTACTTCTATATCTTAGCTTAGCTATGTAGTCGGCTTTTCCTATTTTCTTAATAAATTTTAGTTTACACATTTTATTTATTCATGTAAATTAGTGGTGCCCGAAAGCGAGCTTTTATATAAAAAATTACATTGTCATGTGATTCTTATAAGGGTTTCTTTAGATTTAAGGGATCAAATTATATACAATTACAATATGAATGAAGGGTTTAGTTTTTATTTGCATTTTGCAATTACAGCGTACACCCTCCTCCCAAAGAGCTTTTTATGACAAAAATAACAAACTTTTGGTCAAATCTAATGAATTTAATAACAATATCAACTAGGAATTCAGCTTTTATTATAATATTATTCTCTAAACACCGCAAAGCCTCTTTTTTTTTATATCAGGCATTTTATTTCAAACATATTTTTTTGGTTACAGATATGCATAAATGTATATATGTATATATATATAGATATATAAAAGTATATACATAAACAAAGCTGAGGTAGTATAGGTATATAATATCATATAAATGATCCTCAAACTACTCGACATTTTATTTAATTTTTTTAACATTTCGAGGAAACGCACTGCATTTTAGCAAATAATAAATTAAATATTCAACTCATATAACAGTATTTGCTTCTTAAACGCTCAAAGCTTATTATAATTCTTTAATTATGAGCAGTCTTGCAGTTACCAATTAGCTTACTACTTTAGAGATATTACTGTAATTTTTTAGATAGAAGAAATCTAACTAAGCCCGAATGAAAAATTAGAAGATTTAAATACAAAAGTATATTGGTTATATCAATTCTTTACATATAGTAACTAAAAATTTCAGGTATTAGTAACTATTTTCCCTTAATTTTTATTTAAAAAATCGATTTTTTTTTACCAGTCTTGTGCTTGGTCTTGCAACTGTTAGGCGGTCTCGGTCTTGGTCTTGCAAAGTGCATAAGTCCTGCACTTCAAAATATTGTTACGAAGCGATGTTTCCGCCCCCTCTCCATTTTTAATAATTGGGAGGGGGGCTTCGCCTACCCCCCCCCTCGAAGCCTGAGCCTTTGATGACGTTTATGAAAGGAATCATATTCCAAGTTGGTTTATGATTGTTGTAGCAAAGGTTAAGGCCGTTCATTGATCGACCCGTTCTAAACTCTCCCAGCAATAACCTTTAATCGATTCACTAGCGAGCCTAACATTACCTTCCATTTATTTAATCGATTCCATAACTGACCCGCTTTTATTATACCAGGCAATATTATTACTATTACTGAAGCTTTTTATTAATGCAATTGTCCTCGTTTTACGATCTCTATATAGTTTCATTGTTGTAGCTATTTACATTTCATTAGATAAATATTTATTATCGTTTCAAGAGTTTCTCGGCTTCAATATCTCCATTACGAATCGTTTCAATATTATCGATAATATGTTTATACAATGTTCCGATCATTGAATGGACCAGTCAACCCTTTGCAATTTTCTTCTTTTATTTTTCTGTTGTTTTTTTTTGTTTACTTTCACTTACCTTTATACGTAATATAGGAGTATATTAAGAGAAAGTATTGCTATCACGAAAATATTTTAATCTAAAGTTTCAATGGATAAACGTACTTTCCCGTAAAATGATATGTATGTGTGAACAACCTAACTCAAAAATGAAAAGTCTTATGAAGCTGAAATTACGTATTTAAGGTTTATATATGTCTCAAATGTGGCAGCAACTTAAAAATCGGCTAACCGAAAGTGCCACTTTTACTCATTTTTACGATATTTTCGAAAACGGAATAGAAACGGCTATTCTGATTAATTCGGTGTATCGACTTATAATTAAGTAATCTTTAATATAATTTAGGTCTTATTCATATTGATGACGCTTAACTATATTTTAATTCCCAATGATCAAAATGTCTTCCTCGAAAGTATCTTTAATTTAGTTCACCTTCTGAATTATGCATATCTAGTTTACCTATCTATTTTCTGAACTGTTGTAAATAAACTATTAAAATAATATATTTTCTTGAAGAAAATTTAATTATTCAAAACTTTCTTTCTCACGACTTAGTTGTAAAACGAAGCAATCAAGAGTTATATAGTCAAATACAGTAACAAACATGAGGTAACTTTGTTTTTTCCAAATTAGCGATTGAGGATGGATTTCTCTGAAACTAACTGAGGTAGCGAAGAAAATCTATAATCAATCAAATCTTATCAGTTTTAATTACGAAATAAACGTATTTGTCGATACGATGGATAGTTTTCCTGATATAAGCGAAAATCA